TAAAATTGACAACAATATATTACAAATGTTTCAAAAAATTCCCCCTTTTCCTCTCATTTTTTATTTAAAGTATATTTTTACTTTAGTGATTATATTCTTAATCTGCACGCCATTTACCGTGCTGTACAGATAACTTATTAATTAATAAATATGTTATACTTGTAATGTTTTCTAGTGTTGGCTCATTTTTTTTTATTCCGTTTTATGCTAGCTCATTGTCGACCAATAAAAAATGTTCATCGAATGAAAATGTCGTCTTTATTTGCACGCCATACTTTATTTTACACAAACTAACACTGCATTTGTTTCTTTTAAACCATTTTCTTATCTTATACTGAGTTTGCTAAAACTAAACCGTTCCCGAAAATCGTCATAAAACTATTTCTCAACTTTCACAACCTATTTAGTTTTAAGTACAAACACTACCTTTTAATTTCAGATCAGTTTACCTGAAGAATAAATGCCAGTTAACACTAATAGCTTAAGAATGCCACTTGAAATATGCATATCTGCAAATAAAATTTCAAAAATAAATTTCTAAATAAAATACAAAAACCCACATAAATTTGAAGAAAAACAGGTTACACCATGTTCTGAAGAAAAGAAAAAACCGGACATTTAGCAGTCTTCCAAACTCTTAAAATAATACTCCAGACAGAAAAATAGTATTTATCACGATGGAGAAAGAATAAGTAAGAGTTATAAAAAAATACAAATATATGAAAAGTTACTTAATACTTAAATTTTGACATTTAGCTTGTTCATTAGTTTCTATATTTAACAGAATTATTTTATTATACATGATTGAATGTTTCTATTTTTTTTATTTGGTTGAGAGCCTCGGTTGCCGAGTGGCAAATTGCTTCATCTGCATATGATCAATAACCTGTCAACACTTATTTTTGTGATTTCGAACTCCGATCGTACACATATGTAGCTAGAATTTACAAGAAGGTCGATTGTTCTCTCTGGGTACCCCAGCTTCTTCCGCCCATTATAACTCACTGTCATGATATTGCTAAGAATGTTGAAAATAGCATTTAAACACAAACAATGAATCATTTAATCAATCATATTATTATTCTTTGATAAAAGAGCGGCATTGACTCACCATGGTATATGCATGAATTTTTATCGATATCATCCCCTTAGCAAGAGAACAAAGAGTCTTGAACCGATACTTCTTTAAGGGTTCTCCCTAATATTCCGAACCAAACTAGTCCGACACCACAAAAGTCCGACAAAGGTAGATTATTGTTGGAATAGAAAGTTTTCATAGAATCATCATAACTGGACGTTAAGCAACCAACAATCAATCAATCAATAGAATCATCATTGACGTTGTATGTGAACTACACTTTCTTATAAAAGAAAACAAAAATAGACAATATTATCCATTTGGTAAGAAATACCATGACCATATTATCCTTTTCAAGCATTACAATTTCTAGTCACTCACTGTATACATGAAGGTATAAATCCTGAAATGTCCAATTGCTAATTGGTTATATATTTACTTTACATGAGGGAGACATATTCCTTAATCTAAAATATCTCCCAAAACATTGTGACAGTAAAGTTAAATGACAGAAAATCCGTATTTTTATGCCAGTACCGAAGTAAAGGCTACGGGGCTGGTTTTCCCTCGGGGACTATCAGTCCACCAGCAGTCATCCACCCACTAGTGGTAGTAATAACTTACATTTACTGTTATTGATTAGTTGATGGACAATGCCTTCTTTTCTAAACGCAGTTTAAGTATTAAATGAGCATCATCATGCTTTAAAATATAAAAGAGATATACATTGTGTTCAATTATTCAGTGTTGGACTTTTGGGGTGTAGACCAATGGGGTGTCGGACTAATGAGGAAAATAATAGTATGTCGGACTTATGGGACAGCAGAGCAATAGGGTGTCGGACTAATTAAGCGTCGGAATATGAGGGTGCTGGACCAGTGGTGTTTCGGGATATCGGGGCTGTCCCCTTATTGAATACTTGTATTTACGCAATGTAAGAATCTACAAATTTCCAGTCGTTAATTTTGTTAAACTTGTTAAAAGATCTCTGACGGTTTGCTGCCCTACTTTCGTAACTACAAGTACATACTATTAAAAAAGGAGCAGTCTCATCAATTTTTGTCTTTTCAATATAAATAACAATAAAATGACTTATTTTCAATAAAAAATAAATACCTGACTCGATAACATTTACTTAAACTTTCCAATGTATCTAATTAGAAATGTACATACATGACATGTATAGAAATTACAAGAAATTCTTCCTTCTAAATCAATACAAATATATCTTCCGTTTTCCCAGTATTAAACAATTGAAATCGGAAACTAATATTCAATATGTATAATGTTCTAAGTGCTTTGTGTTAACTAGTACATACATTGATATCAAAATGTCTTTTTACGAATTTGTATATAAAAAATGGTGCTATAGCATAGGTCTGTCATTTGAGAACCCATTTATAAAAGTAATGTTCAACTAATACAATTTTTAAACTGTACGCACAGATTATGTCTTTGTCATTTATCTTTGGCATGACTTTATCGAGTGAAAAAAAGCTTGAGTTTGGTACCATTAAAACGTTTAATCCCGCAATTGTTTGCACCTGTCGTAAGTCAGGAATCTGATGTTCAGTAGTTGTCGTTTGTTTATTTGGTTCATAAGTGTTTCTCGTTTTTTTTTATATAGATTAGACCATTGGTTTCCCCGTTTGAATGGTTTTAAACTAGTAATTTTGGAGGCCCTTTATAGCTTGCTGTTCGGTGTGAGCTTAGGCTCCGTGTTGAAGACCGTACCTTGACCTATAATGGTTTACTTTTATAAATTGTGACTTAGATGGAGAGTTGTCTCATTGGCACTCATACCACATCTTCCTATATCTATTGATCCGTTTAGTTGTTACAAAATGTAAACAACTTAAATTAACGATCTCAAAGAAAGACAAATAAGGACATTTTTTCCCCGACTTATTTTATGGTTATGAGACTAAAATTCGGAAATCTTATCTTTCATAGTTGCGTATTGTGTCAATATTCTAGCTTCTTTGCTCATGATTTGTTTTGAACTTCACCGAGATATTCGTATTTGATTGAAGTTTAGTCGGAATGTGTGCTATAGATGAAATGAATACAATTTTGAAGCGTAGAATGTTTTATTTGCAATTTTGAGTGGAAATATCTACAAAATCTTGACTGTAAAAACATAATAGCGGATTTTAAGAACTGGTGCTTTTCCACATTTTGTCTGTATACTTTATCTTTTTTTATCACACTGTTGATCTTGTCGACGAATGTTGAATGTTTAACTACGGAGCCCTGTAGGTCTCATACTGTTAAAGAGTTTGTTTTAAGTCAAATGCTTGAGATGTAAGTATATGGATTTATATTTAAAGTCTAGCGCTGCAGATGTAAAGTCGCTCGCTGTAAATTTAAATTTCACTGGAGATGCAAACCATTAGCGCTAAAGTTGAGTATAAATGTCGAAATCCCAATCCTGCAGAAAATATTTAATTTGGAATTTACGTTTCAAGACGCTGTTTTTTTTTTTTCTTCTAAACATCTACCCGTCTCTTTCCATTTTTCAATGGTTAGTGTGTATTAAGTTCGTTCGGAGAGAGCAAATGTATCGCCCTATTGTGAATAAATAGTTTCAAAAGAAAATACAAACTGGCGGGAAACATCTGATAACCGCAAAGGTTCTAAATGTGAATTGTGGTGTACTGAATGATAAGCCTTACTCCAATAAATCCAATCTGTCATGTAAGACCTCATCGTTAAATTTATGTCATTTTATATCTTATATTCTAATCTATTCCATTCGTCAAATTCTAAAGTAGGGTAGGGTTAAAATGTTAAAAAGCTTTATTTACACTCATATTACAATATTGTCATGTACCTTTCGCAAGGAAGGCGTTGTCAGTGTTTGCCTATTGTTTTTATAATTACTCTTTAATGCACACGATATTAGGTAAAAAATTGCATGAATTGTGACAACGGGCATTTGAATTTTCGAAAAACTAAGGCTGTTCTACCTCAGGAAAAGATAACCTTAGCTGCATTTGGCAAAAAATTTTAGGAATTTTTGGTTCTCACTGCTCTTCAACTTCGTACTTTATTTGACCTTTTAACTTTTTTTAATTCGAGCGTCACTGGCGAGTCTTTTGTAGACGAATACAAAATTTCAATCCTGGTATCTATGGTGAGTTTATATACAAAATATGCACATTGTCGGAAAAAATACAATTGTTTTGTACAAATTCTTAGAAACAGAACGAAAAGCGAGGTCCGACGAGTTTTTCTCCTGTTTCGTAGCGATCGAGTCACTTGGTGAATTTATTAGCATGACGTGGTATTGAAACAAACAAAAGTTTGTAGTGTAAGACCAGTTTTATTTGCGCACAATCCAACCCCATTGGATATAAGAAAGTCTTCATTATGACATACCAGTTAAAAACACAAAGTTCTGTAACCAATTTAATGATTATTTACCAGAACAAGGAAACTAAATAGAATGCAAACATTTGAAAGTAAGGTCCAATTGGAATGCTTCTCGGCGAATAAAGCTAAATGAGTCAGCGCTTTTGGTCGAATACTGCCTATCAAGACAGTGAAACCTTAATAAAAAAAATACAACTGTATTACACGAGTTGAATGATTAATTTGTCATACTAAGATATGCCGTGTAAGGAGAACTTTATAAAATAGTTGATAGTTTGGGTTTTTGTTGATGTTCATCCGTCTGATTAAATAACAGTTTCTCTTTTGGCCAAATTAAAGTTTCTCTTATCATTGATAAGTATATGATTCAAGTCTTTTCTCTTTGAGAAATGTATGTTAACGAGCACAAACTAATGAAAAAGAAACTATTAATTAAATAAATGGCGATTTCAGTATCATCTTTAAATTAGGCAAATATGAAAAAAACAACATAATACAAAGAAAGGTAAAATAGCTGTCAAGATCACTTCCTGTATAAATGTACATATGAAAATATAAACTACATTTTAATATATACAATACATTAATAAGCAATCATATCAAAAAATTACAATATATATAAATAACAAGTAATATAATATAATAAAAAGTTGTAAACAATAAAAAATTTTTCGAAAGTTAACTCTGAATGGATAGTAATGAATCAATAGTACTAGTCTAAGTACATTCTAGAAATCAATATATTTAACAGCTGCCAAATCATATGAGATGGGGTTTACATAATAGATATTAATAGGGGGAAAGTGCAGATAAGGGTCCAACAAGAGTGCACACGCTAAAGTGTCTCTCCTGATTAACTGACTAGAAACGCAGATAATGATGCCAGACAGACGTATATATACAACTTACATTTTTTTAAACACAAAATATAACTGACCTACATTTATTGCTTATAGTACTTGAAAAACAGACCAAACGACAAAAACTTAACATTGGACAATGAACCATATAAATGAGGTTAAGGTCAAATGTAACCTATCAGACTGAAATGTACACCTTACAATCACCTTCAATACACCGCATATAATTGACCAACTGCTTATTGTATTTGAGAAACGGACCTAATCACGAAACTTTCACCTTAATCAATGGTCCATGAAATGAGCTCGAGGTCAGGTTAACCCTGCTGTCTGGCAGACAGGTTGACGTTGCATGCAAGGGACCCATATACATGTACCAAATATGGTTATCCTATTACTCATAACGAGTGAGAAATTCAAATGACAAAAAAATTCAAATTATTTTCTCAAGCACTTGCTGAACAATGAAAATGAGATCAAGGACATTCGACGTATGACAGATGGAAACTTAGTCACATACAGTATCTGCATACAAGTTATGAATCACCCAGGTCTTCTTATTTCTGAATTATAAAGCTTTAAACAAATAATTTTCGCCATCGCCGGAAAGTTATACCTATGTCTCGCGTACTGCGACTTTCGTCTCAGGCGAGACAAAAAAACAGAATAAATTGAAAAAAATAATGCAAAAAAAATAAAGAATGGAAAATAATGGGTGCTAAAATATAAAGAAAAGAAAATAACAGGAAAAATATATAAAGAATAGAGAAGATAGGAATAAAAAAAAGAATACATAAATGAAGGTCCCCCATCCAGACCCTTATAAATGTATAGATAAAAATATACTTTTGTATAAGCATAAACATAATACAAAATATTTGTACTTCCCTGCCCGGGATTCGAACTCATGCTTTTAAGATATCGTGGCACCAAATCGCCTTGCACTATGCCCGACGCACTTGACCACCTAGGCTCAACAAATATCAAGCTTATGGCTGTCACCTTTTCTCCTCAGTTTTTATCTAGCGTTGTAACACATTACATGATATATAAGACATGAAGATGGAATATTACAGATCAGCTGAATTATCTATCGTAGAGGACCTTACAAATAAATGTAGGATGCAGTCACAGAAATATTAATATTTTAAGTACGTCTGAACCAGTGACAGATTGAATCCATCGGATCACTAGTGATGGCGATACAAGGCTGAAAACACATTCTGTATATACAATTTGTCTAAAAAACAGCCCAACAATGTTAGATCTGTAAATCTATTTATCTCTACATATATTTTTAAAAATGATTTATTTATACAAGATAAAAAAGTAAAATAACCAAAATACCGAGCTCCAAGGAATCCAAAATGGAAAGTTCCTTATCAAATTGAAAAATCAAAAGTTCAAACACATGAAACTCATAGAAAACAACTGCCATACCAGAAATCGTACAGACATTAACTTATGTATGAAAACACTGTTAGTATGTTTAAGAAAACGATACAGGGTATACGACAACAAGAAATTCAAATAACAACTCAAACAAAAGCGAGAGACATTTGTAGGTATGCACATAAATAAATATCAAGCTTCAGATAACGCCTAAAGACCAACTTCATAGATCCGTTGTCAGAGGTCATAACAAATATACTATCAAAACAGTTGCTGCCTTTGTTCATGAGCATGCATTTGGATAGACACATGGACATGTGGCAATGTTTAAGTTAATTGCCGAATAAAGACAGACACGTCTTAGCTGGGATAGTATGTAAATGAGGTCATGATATTAATATGACAATTGCCAGACAGACATAAACACTTTACAATAATTCCATAAATCATAATTATCGATGCCCTAATGATTATGCATGCCAGACTTAAATATGTTCATACGCCAAACATAGTTTTCCTATTGCATACAGTAAAAGAAAATTTGACCAAAACACAAATACTTAACTTAAACCACTGAACCATGAAAATGAGGTCAAGGTCAGATGACACAAGTCAGTTGGACATGTACACCTTACAATCAAATATAGTAGACATATTGATTAAAGTATCTGAGATATGGACTTGACCCTGAAAACTTGACCTTGTTCACTGATCCATGAGTTCGAGGTCAAGCAGAAACTATCTGATGGGCACAAGGACCATGCCAGGTACGCACATACCAAATATAGTTATCATATTACTCACAATGAGAGAGAAATAACAAATACTTAAACAAAAAACTTTTGTTTTTAATTAGTCACTTAACCAGAAAAATGAGGTCAAGGACAATGGATATATGACAGACGGAAAATTCATAACATAAGTCATCTATATATTTGGATTGAAATTGACGTGCAATAGGCTTTCATATATTCAAAATATATACATGTGTAATTCACACATACATTCGCACTACTACTATATATGAAGTATGAACGATTCAGGTTTTTTACCTTCTGAAATATCAAGCTTTTAAGAAGTATATGTTAACGCCGCCGAGTCCCTGTCCCTATGTCTAGATTCTGTGACAGAAGTCGCATTCTAGACAAAAACACAAATTCAACTTAAAATAAATTTGAGTTTTCACATATGACCAGTTATATGTCCATAGACACTAATCTTCATCCTCTCTTCGAACATTTTTGTCATCGATTGAGACCGGTAATATCTGACTTTCATCCAGTCGTTATTTCATTTTTGCATTGTCTAAAATATTTTTTGCTGTTCATCTTCAACTCCCAAGCCGGAATCTATCAGAAATACAAAAGTTTAAAACAATGTAACAAATTAATCCAAATAATCATGCTTTGGGATTTGAAAGGTAGCTGACAATATAGCTACGGGAAAAATGGAAATCGCAATATTTAAAAATGAAATTATATATTTTTCTGCTTGCACACAAATCAACCAATGTTCATAAATATATTGTGGAGAAATACGTATGTGACTTTTGAGATTTATATTTGATATTTGTAATAGTATACGTCCATTACTAATTATATTACTCTTAGTAATATTATATTTGTGACATTTGATTTAGTGCAAAAACCTATTGGACTCATGTGACTATACTTTAACATACGAATATCAAAATTATTTTGCTGGCACATGTACATGTCTCCATCTTTGAACTACATTATATAACGTTTATTTGTTTATCAAATATTGTGGTTATATTTTTAACATGTTAAGCATGTCTGTTAAATCTAGTATTATGATATTGAGTAATAATTGCTGAATTTGTCCTTTAATTGCAAGAAAAATTGGTGTTGAAATTTGAAACATAATTGTATTATTTTGATGTAAAATTTTGCAGATAACTAAATATTTGATACTGATTTGTCTTGTAGATTTTTAAATGAAATACTTTGGTTTTTCACATTTCCTGCTCACTAATTATGTTCATACATTTACCAGTACAGCAGAAATATCTTTTATCCAAATGTCTTTACCAATATAGAGGGTCTAGGTTGCTTTGTGTGTAATTACAAGAGCACCTAATTTTAGGTTTTGAAATAACTTTCACCAAGTACGTTCAAAAACAAAACATAACTTTTCGAAACTCACCTTGTGACAGGAATTTTTCTTTCTCTTTAAAATTTACATCAGTTGTAGATTTGCTGTCATCAGAAACATTGCTGCTACTTGTACATGTACATGGTTGACTTTCAACGTCATTGTTTGTGTCTTTTTCTAAATACATTGATACAGATTTAATGTTGTATAAACAATTTAATTAGATATTTTATTTTCCATCTGAATCCTCAGTTTTTTTATTGTGTGAATAATTTTCGATCATACCGTTTGTTATTCGTGCACTTCAGATGAATTCAAATTAAAATCTGTCTTTGGGAGAAAAACGTTATAATTTCAATACATAAATAGGGGGAATGTTCTACAAAACTGTTTTCGTCTAGTTTTTTTTTTATTCGAAACAAAATCCTTAAAAGTTTTTAAAGATGTTGCTTTTCTATCATCCTCAACTTTGAAAAACAACATTATATTATTTGTAGGGCATGGAAATCGAATGATGTGATATACGCGCGTGCAACATGTGTTCACTTCAGCTGGTACGACTGAGAGTTTAGAGAGACAAAATTATAAACCGCGCGTAGTCAAAAGAATAAAAACAACTGTTAAGTACTGTATAACCTTAAGTAACAATAAAATAACAGTTACAATGTCCACCGCATTGCACATATTTTATATATACAAGGTACATGGCCAATAGCAAAAACAAAAACATTTTTTTATAAGTATTATTTTACTTATAAAAGTATCTTAGAGAATGAAAGCTTCAGAGCCAAATGCAATGCGGTTTCTGTTTCCAAGGAACATAACTCTTAAATAATATTTGATCATCACTTGTTTTCGAAAGTGTCAAAATCATTTCTGATATAAACCTATGATTTAAGTTTCATAGCATGAACTGTACACATGAGAGCTCCAAAAATGCACTTTTCCATATATTTTAGTAATCAATATTTCCAAGGGCATAACTTTTGGAAACAAAACTCGTCCAAGAAATTCTGATATAAACCTATGATATAAGTTTCATAAAAATCTGGTAAGAATTGTACACGTCCTTGCGCTAACAAGACCGGACAGACAGAGGCCTGATTTTTCTGTGTCCTGTAAAATGCGATGCGCGTGACTCACTGCTGCACCTTTTCAATTTAATCAATAATATGCAAGTCTTACTGATAGACATTAAATGTCTTGACGTTTTTGCATTTGGCACGATATTGATTTGTTCTCATCTATCCACAAACAATCCATTTGGTGAACCAGTAATATGCGTACTGATAACTGTCATAATACTGAATTCAACATCTAGAATGTGGTCTTCTTTGTATATTTTCATCGTTCGAAAGTTAAATTATGATATCTATATACTGTATACATTATTCTAAATCTACCGGACATTGTATATTTTTAAAAAAACCCACACATTTCGAAAGGTCAATAGTATGTTAAAGGTAATTACCATTTTTCTCTTCTTGGTCTGAATCTCTTCTTTTTAAACGTTTTTTAAATATCAGAAATCCTATTACCACAATGAGTACTATGAAAACTGTCAGCAAACTAACCAATAGTTCATTCCCTGTCTCTGAATCGTCAGTGAAAGCTATTAAAAGTTGACAAAAACAAGACACATATCAACTTTGCTTGAATAATGATTCTCTTGAATATCTTCATCGTATGTTAATCATTAATCTATAATTCAAGTTTCTTAATATACATGATATACAAGGATAATGGTGCCCATTATATTGATAATGATACGATTTAAAAAGAATCCTTCCTTTTCTTATCGATTTTCTTATTCAAAAATTGGAAAGCGAACTGTTCCAAAACGCACAGAACAATCAACATATGAGCTATTAAATATATGATGTTCATGGATGAATGTGTCGCTTTTGAAATCCGAAAACTACTTTTTATACATGTATAAGGTTTGGTGCCATTAAAACGTTTAAACCCGCTGCAATTGTTTGCACCTGGCCTAAGTCTGGAATCTGATGTTCAGTAGTTGTCGTTTGTTGATGTGGTTCATAAGTGTTTCTCGTTTCTCGTTTTTTTATATAGATTAGACAGTTGGTTTTCCCGTTTGAATGGTTTTACACTAGTAATTTTGGGGGCCCTTTATAGCTTGCTGTTCGGTGTGAGCCAAGGCTCCGTGTTGAAGACCGTACTTTGACCTATAATGGTTTACTTTTATAAATTTTGACTTGGATGGAGAGTTGTCTCATTGGCACTCATACCACATCTTCTTATATCTAATTATTAAAGAAAAAATTCGTATGACACATAAAACATTCTCACTTCACTAGGCAGCTAACTTCGTAACATAAGCATTAACGGTTTCATGGTATTCCGTCGTGTAAAACAGAAATGATGACAATATCCAAGTTCTACTCGGAGGCGAAACGCACTATACCACTTGCCGCTACCAGTGCAGGTACACGCATAGTAATGAATGTTTCAAGACTAATCTGCATAAGACGACCTAGTTCACTCTCCTAGTAAGTTTCACTGAATATCGAATTTCTCTCTTTCCTTATAAATATTTACATGCGCAATGAAGAGGGGCAGAATTCTAGTTGTCAGTTTAGTTATGGTGACCGTGTAATAGTAGAAGTAGAAGTAGAAATGAATGTTAACATCAAGGATCAAGTACATCACGTTGCATTATATCACAAAAGTCTGTTTGTCAATTTCCTCATTTGACCATGTAATTAGAGATTATTTCTTATTAATGTGTCTTAGGAAGGACATTAATTGGAATTGACAATGGAGACATAGCGGAAAGAGCAAATGACACATGTGCAAATTTAAAATATGAAAAAAGGACAATGACGTCAATTTTAATTCAGATGTATTGACTTTGTTGCACAACAGTACAAGATCTCAAAGTCTCATTGATTTTAGGGTAGCGCCATATGGGACATTATTATGTTACCTACTGATGAAACATACACTATAGATATGATACTTTATCAATCTATTATCAATAAGGGATTTTAAGCTTTAGTTAAAAGTAAAATCGTTAGGTTATTATCGTACTGTTAAATGTTATGCAGATTTTTTACGGTTTCTTTTAGACGTATTAATTATGAAGGTTTTTCATTATTCTATTCTATATATATATATATATATTTTGTCATTCAATAATGATGCTTATACATGTATGTCCCCTGTGTTTCGTATCCATTAATATCTCCGTATTGTCTCCCGTTTTTAAAATGTTCCCTCTCGGAATTCAAAATCAAGATAGTAATGCAGATGTGGTATGATTGCAAATGAGACAACTATCCACCAGAGAACAATGAAGTGGATGTACGTTCTCATGTATACCAAAGGTGTCAGATAGGCAAAAGTTTACAACCAACTATTTATCTGAAGGACATATTTATTATAAAAAAGGATATGCCACAAAAGAGTCAGACTTTGACTAGCCTTATTTCTTGTTTGTAAGAATAGATATGGATTGCAAATTTGTGTATATTACATGTATAGCCAAAACAAACTGATGTAAAAACTGGACATAACAATTTAAAACGTTCCTTGTAAGTAAATTTTTCGTTTTTGGCGATGATGATCATTTTGACCCTTCTTATTGTGTGCATATTTTTTAACAAGTTCGCTATGCTCGTTTCTGTAGTAACTTTTTAGATTTCAAGGAATATTATCTATGTAAAACTGGTCAAGTATTAGGATTTCGCTACATAGCATAGATTACTTAGAGCTGAAAAGTCTTTTTTAAAATTCTTTCATAGATACAACAATTTGTTTTGGAAGTTTGGTTGTACCTGTAGAATTATTCTTAAAGACGGGATATCACATCCTAGTTTTACGTAATGTTGTTCTTATAGCCTTTATACTTGCATACGATCAATGTAAATGTATAGAACCACTAATTCAGGCCCGGTCGGAAAGAACATACAAGAAAGTATGCATATTTTAAACAAAATAGCTCCTACGCATAGCTGTATCTTTGTCAATAGCGGATATATTTAGGTAGTTTTAGTATCAAATGAAAGTTTAGGGACTTGGAATCACTGTAGAACTCTTGTTGAAAGTTTTATTTGAATAATAAAGAAGTATATGAAATTTTAATAGGAGGGCAAATTTGGCCTGTTGTTCAGATCGGAAGTTCCTGTTTTTGTACTATCAAACTTCCGGGAACCAGTACGCTCTAATATGCAATTAAAGGTATATTGATTTTGTCAGCACAAGTCAGGATAAGGTACAGTTTTGACATGAAATAACTGCCACTTTATTTGAACTTAAGATAAAGTAGCCATTAATGCTTGAAATTGCAGAATTTAACATAGAAAGCAATGGGGCTATGAATTAGTGGTTTTATACCTGAAGTCATTCCTTTGATTAAACGTATAGGATATCAATTTAACACCGTAGCAAGGTCTTTATATATTGTTTTGATCGGTACGAACATTTCTTTCATTCGTGATAAATTATAACCAAACCAAACATCCATTGCTTAACATTGATACAACTTAAGGTCCTACATCCTGGAAACATTAAGTGCTCACAGGGTCATGATTTTCTTAAAATGTTTATGACGTATTTTCTAAATCAATCGGATGTGTACTGACTGATACTGTAACCTGGGAGAACACGATGAATTTATTACAAGTATGCTTTTATGATTGGATTTGAACTAGCTTTCAGTAACATCGAGTACTCTAGCTTAGATCTGTACTTTGTACATATTGTCTTTATGTTAGTATGTTTCTTGCTTCATGTCAATCTGATGTCAAGCCTTTTACAATTGATTTTTACAGGCTGAATTTTGTTATGTTTTTTTGTTACATCACTGTCCTGGTTAAGGGAGTTTGATTGCTAACAAACATGTTAAACCCCACCGCTTTCTATGTGTGCCTGTCCGAAGTCAGGATTCTGCACTTCGGTGGTTGTCGTTGGTTAGTGTCTTTCATATTTGTTGTATTTTGTTTGATTTAAATAATCGTCTCACATTTTATTATGTCTTGGCCTTTTATAGCTGACAATACAAGGTTTTCTCATTGTGGAAGGTCCCATGGTGACTTATTTGTGCCTAATCCGCTTCATTTGTTTTCTATTGAATAGTTGTCTCATTGGTTTCCCTATATGTACTTTTTTCAAAAGTGGGAAGAGATTTCCTTGACTTAGCCTATTCGTCTAGTCATAGATCATCATCTAAAATTGCGTTTGAAAACAGTCACTGCCCCCCTGAAAAATATCTCCAATATGCCAAGTTTCCTACAACTAGGACATATGAGTAATGTTCATACGGTTTCATCAAAACAATTTGTTTAAGTAAAACACAGATAGCATTAAATGCTGTGCAAACAGTTGGATCATAGAACAATGGATTATTTGTTTGTTGTCTGAGAAACCTTGAAACAAATACTTTTTCTTTTAGAAATAAACAAGCATTGCTATCCGTTTCTCGAAACACTTTAAATTCCAAGTAGGATTTCATAAAAATTCTTTAAGGTATAGAACCACTAATACAAGCCCAGTCGGAAAGAACGTAGTACATATTTTAAACAAAATAGTTCCTACGCATAGCAGTATCTTTGTCAATAGGTGAAATATTTGGGAAGTTTTGATATCAAATGAAAGCTTTGGGACTTGTGAACACTGTAGAACCCTTGTTGAAAATTTCTTTTAAATAATAAAAGAAGAATAAAAAAAATTAACAGGAGGGCAAATTTGCCCTGTTGTTCAGATCAGGAGTACATGTACCTGTTTTTTTACTTTCAATCTTCCGGGAACCAGTACGCTCTAATATGCAATTAAAGGTATGTTTAATTTTTCAGAACAAGTCAGGATAAGGTATAGTTTTGACATGAAATAACTGACACTATATTTGAACGTAAGACAAAGTAGCCTTTAATGCTTGAAATTGCAGAGTTTAACATAGAAAGCAATGGGGCTATGAATTAGTGTTTTTTTTTTTACCTTAAACGCTATTTCAATTCTTAACAACTTCTTCTTAAAGTAGAAATTTAAGTAATGAATTGTGATGTAAACGTGGAAAAAAAAACATTTAAAAATCCAATATTGCATAAATACCTTCTGGTTTACAGGGATTAATATGTTCAACTGCTAAAGAGTAATTTTTTATCAGCTGGCAAGAAACTTCAAAATCACGATTGCATTTTATCGAATTCGCCAATCGTTTAATCATATAAACTTCATAGTAGATACCATTTGTGTGGTGCTTCACAATATCGAGAGACATTTGGGAATCCTAAAACATAATTATACAAGAGTTCGATTATATTTCTGAGTCAAAATTTTGAATCTATAAATATAAATTGATACGACAAGAAAGTATGTCTTTACTTTTGAAATTTCTATGATACCAGATACCAAAATAACAAATCCTAAGATCTCAATATATACATCCAAAATATTTTTATCAATCAAAGTTGCATACATCCTATATTATTTGGAAAAGTATACAAAAGCCACAATGTTGTCTTCCTTCTCGGTGTGTTACACTTGATTTGCATTTCTGACTAGGAAAATGATGGGTGGGTGTCATGCACAGTGACTGTTTTACACATTCGGTTCAACTAAAACTAGATTTATACCACAGTTGTCAGTATTTCTTCTTTTATATTATTGGTACAACTTGTAAAACTCTAAGACTTCCTTGCACTAAGTTTATAAGTTCATAAACGACATTTTAAGTACTAAGAATCAATTAGGTGTATTGGATTTCCTATTCAGTAACAATACAAATATTTGACAACTCACCCCTACGGTTACATTACAGATCGGCATGGGATAAACCTTTTTCAAATGCAGATCTACTGTCATACTTCCATCTGATACGTTGCTTTTGATTATGGCTTTGGTTTCATTTGCTGGTGGATCTAGAATAATCAAAATATATTTCATTCTTTCATTTCTTGCTGCAAAATGCCATCAGATCGTATACAACCATATACTGTTAACACAGAGATATATATGTATCGTCTTTTGTTCAGTTTGGTAGTATAAAAGAGGGGCGAAAGATACCAGAGGGACAGTCAAACTCATAGATCGGAAATTAACTAACAATGCCATGGCTTAAAAGTAAAAAGACAAACAAACAAATAATAGTACACAAGACACAACATAGAAAACTAAAGACTAAGCAACACGAACCCCACCAAAAACTGGGGGTGATCTCAGGTGCTCCGGAAGGGTGAGCAAATCCTGCTCCACATGTGGCACCCGTCGTGTTGCTCATGTTATTACAAACCCGGTAAATAGTCTAATTCGGTAGGTCACATTAAATAATGCAAATGATGAAATCAAACGAGCAATACATTAACATGTAAAAAATGCAAATATTCAAAGTCTATGAACCACCACTGAATGTACAGCGCTAACTACTCTACATTGAGATCAGACGTGTCAATGATTATACCAAATGCATATCAAATATCATTATCATTGACGTATCATAAGCGGTTCCATTTAAACTGATTTGAATATTTTCTATAACATGTAATCATGGTAATATATACTGATGGGACAGGACCCAATAATCCTTGAAGAAATGAGATGTGACAATGCTAAAAAACTGTATACCAAATATGATTAACGAACCATTAGTGGTTCCCCTTAATTTGACCTAATCACAAACTTAAAATTATAAATCTCGGAATCATCTTAAAGTCAATAGACCATGATTAATGGGGCTGGGGTAAAATTATCTCCATGAGAATAAAATGTGCCAACATGGCCAATGCTTAATATACAACTGCATATTTAACAAATATCATTGATTGATCATTCATGCCATTAGTGGTTCCACTTTACTTAACCTAATCATAAACTTTAACAAATTGTTGACGCCTCCGCTAACGCGATCGAAAAAAGCATACCTAGTCTCGCTATTTGACTTTGTTAAGACGAGATAATAAAATGAACAATCGATGCATTTTATTTTACCATGGTTAAAAATGTCAAATGACTTCCTGTCCCAAGTCAGATGCCCGTAAATCAGTGGTTGTCGTATGCTGCTGTGTTACATATTTGCTTTTCGTTCAATTTTTTTGTACATTAAATGATTATTAGTTTTCTCGTTTGAAATGTTTGTATTTGTCACTTCGAGGCCTTTTATAGCTAACTATGCTGTATCGGCTTTGCTCATTGTTTTAGGCCGTATGATGGCCTATAGTTGTTGATTTCTGTGTCATTTGTTATCTTATGTAGATTAGTCTCATTGGCAATCATTCCACATCTTTTTTTTTTTTTATATTCAAAGTTTATTAACGCATTCCCATCTGAATAACATAAATGTCAAAAGCAAAGCATGTACCTGAACCAAGAATGTCGTACTTTGGCCTATAATGGTTTACTTGAAATAACACTTCAAAAATCCAAAAACGCGCGCTTGTTTTGACTTGAATAATGTTAGTAAAACATGATCTCATCGTCATCGTCATAGTGGTCATCATTATCATCATCAAGTTGCATCAAAAGTCACAATGGGTACATTCTCCATGTTCAAGTAATGATATATATTCAGTATTAAACCAGTCTATGTGGGTATTCATGCCAGTGTGAAAAAACTTATCTTTTCTTCTTTTTATACTTACATTCAAAATTATGTCTCGATATCTCTATCTTCTTTGTTTGTGTTTCAAAGCTATAACGACATTGGTAATTACACTGTAAGTCAGACTCTGTTACGTTGTTGATCTGCAGCTTAAATTGGTTATCATTCGTCACAATTTCGCTATACTTAATTGGATCTATTGGATGGCCATTATAACAAATCAGTTCCGGACCTTTTGTCCACTGCCTTATAAGTCCTTGGTCGATAATGTCTACATCAGCTACAGTACAGACTAAAGACAGAGTCTCTCCAATTCGTATGACCTCTGGTTCAAATGTCCAAAAAACTGCAATATGTGTGATACTTGAATTTAAATAATGAAAGATGAACCCAGAAGTTCAAGGATGTAATTTGGCAAAAACATTATCAGTCTAATTCTACACTGCAATGAATCGTAGTCGAGAAATTTTAATGTATACGATGGCCATAACTTGATTTGGCATTAATATATATATATATATTATATATCAATAATTTGTGGAATTTATGGTTTGCAATCCTCTTCAACTTCGTGATTAATTTATCCTTCCAACTGTTTTAATTCGAGCGGCAGTATCTTTAGCCTTGCGTATCAGTACATTACACTATTTTTAGGACTTATTAACCGATCGCGCAGTATCGGTACCAAACGATTTGATCTCATTATTCAGGAGTGTGTGTCTCCCCCCTTATTATTTGTATGTCGTTTTATATTACTGAGCTAATAGTGAGGCGTTAGTTACTCAACAGATTAAAAAAACAATAAGAGATTACCATGATTGCAGGATTTTTAATGTGTTGTTATTATACTTTGTAGCATAACTCACGTCTTTTCAATTTTCATTTGAATAATTGTCATTAATGGTTCTTAAACACTTAATGAACTAACACTTTCTTTAGTTTTAGAGGTGTTCACCATAAATGTACGACAAAACCCCGAAAGTAGTATAATGCAAGTGCTTACTTAACAAAATTTTGACAAATGACCTTAAACTGCCGATTTTGAGCGGTTATTAATTCTAAAGCACGAGAACTATTTTGTCCGTTTTAACATTGCATCACTTCTCAATAACTACTGAACAAAATTAACATGGTCATCAGTTTGACATTGATGAAAACATAAGATCGATATGATTACAATGCAAAAATGGTATTTATACCCGACCCTAAACTCAACTGTAAACACATTTTTTGTGCATTTTATTTTTACATGTTTAGGTCGAAACATGTCTCATTTCTAAACAAATTCAGATTGACCAAAGCATGGAAAGTGTTTGAGATTATGCGTAGGATATTGTTATGCGTATAAATAAGTGTTTAAATGTTAAACACCTTATTTCTAAAACACATTTTAAGTGTTTTTATTCAAGACATGTGTACATTTAATGACTGTGCTTACTCCAAAAATGTGTTTAGATATTGAACATAACCCGGAAACTTGCTTAGAAATAAGCATGTAAAACAAGCTTGATTTTTACATTGAGTTAAAACATAATAGGGGAACCATCATCATGAATATTGAATGATGATAAAAGTGCATAAAATGTCCGGATTTGTCTGACAATTTCTGTATACACTACAGATTTTTAATGGTGTCATACAACGAAGTGAGAGCAAAATTTCCATTGCTTCAAGTATTAAATTAATAATTAATTTCAAAATGCCTTTTATTAAAATACATACCATTAGCATTTAATGTTTCTATCATATTCAACAACAGCAATCCCCACTGGATATTGGATCGTGCCATTTTATCTGTACCTGTAATAAGGATAATCTTTAACATGTTTAATGCTAATTAAATAAATTCAATTCTGGAAGATCCTTCCTTGTACAATATTACTGACAATTCTGGATTAATAAATAAAACAATTAATAACAAACTGTATAGTAATCTTCAAGACACAGACAGACAGTACCCCCCCCCCCCCCCCCCCCCCACCCCCAAAAAAACCGAATCAAACCAGATAAAAACAAACCCGTTTAAAGATCAAGATGAACATATAACGTAATTATGTTTTTAAGAACTACAACCAGAAGAAGAAAACTGCCTGCTTACACACCGATAACCTGATGTCATTTCCAGTTTTTGTATGTTTTGAGGGAGTTCATTTTTGCGAGATCCACAAATTTCAGTGATGTTTGTACAGTTATGAGGCTTTTTTTAAGATATATATATATCGTGTGATTGTCAGTCAAACACATCTGTATAAGTTTACCCATCTTCGCTACCCAAGTGTTACGACCCACTCCCGTCCTCTCCACGTGGAGACGAGGGGAGTGGGTCGTAACCCTTGGCTAGCGGATATGAGGTTTACCCTATTCGGATTATATTTATCGTTTTTTTGTTTGTTCATGAGTTAGTATCATCTTTGAAAATCTCACAACTGCAATTTTAGGCTGCTTTCAAAAGGAGTTATTGGTATTTTTTTTTTTTTTGGCAATGTTGACTTCTTAAATATTTGTCACTACTCATTCTGCTTAATTTGTTTTGTCGGGATCTGTCTGCATGCTGTAGTTGCAAGTATAAAATAATTGCCTATCTACCAACTAGGATTTGTTCCAGCATGTAAGCGAAAACACAGGTATTATGTGTTTAAGCACATTGCCGACGGAGTTTACCTGAAGCAACAAAAGGAATTTAGTTCGAATCTCACTTAAGAAAAGAAATAAAAATATGCTGCTGTAAATTTGCAGAACTTACATTTTTTGGCTTACCTTCAGACGAAGAATACTATAGAATGTATTTTTTAGTTTTAGCCTAGTATAATACGAAGATATCAGCTAGATGACGGATGTCAAAATTGTCACATGTACATGTATCCTATTTCGTGAGGTAGATCGTCATACTCATTAGTTAACAAAGTTGACCACGATGACAGTGTTATAAAAGAATAACAAAGGATATGGGGAATCCACCCATGCACAAAATCATGACATACATGTACACATTAAAACACACATAAAGTAAAAGAACCGCGGTTTTATTGCGGTTCTTCATCTCGATGTACAAGGTTTTTGGTAGAAATTTTGCATATATTGCCAAAGTCGGATGTACGCCGAGTTATCTAATCTTATTATATCCTTGACATTAATACAAAACTTCATTCTCACCTGTTTGTAGGTAAATTCAAGGGTAAACAAATGTCATCCCGTCCAGAGTACCTCCGTTTTTTTGAATTTTTAGTGTTTTTTTTTTGTTTATCTTTATCTAGCTGGTCTAGTGTTTTTGCAGAAGATCAGAAGATAGCCGTTTGCCTCCGTATAAACCGACCTTGATGCCTAGATACTTCCAATTGCCAATAAAACATAATGTGTAAAGCGCATTTTCCGTCTTCGCGTGCAAATATAATATATTATTTTACTTATATCACATGTTTGTTAATTATAGCAAAATGCATTAAAATATCAACAAAAAATGCTGTTGTCAAAAACTACAAAATGTAATTAATTAAGTTAAAAATAGATCTAAGAGCCCTTCGTCCGTCCTTATGTATCACCCTTTTTGTAAGACTAACATATAACATGTAATGAAAAAAAAAAAAAAACACAAAAAAAAACAACAACAAACAAGAGCGGACACACAGAAATGTCTCGCCTGTCGTGTATTTCTAATTGAAGTTATGTTGAAAGTAAATGCTATCAGACATACATTATAAATTTTAAGCTATAAATAATGAGATAATGTCGCTGCTGCTGATGCCTGTATGAACGCTAAAGCTGCTGCCAGGCCTGCTGAAGACAACTATCATAGTGTCTTCATATTTCTAATTGTATAAGTTATTATCCGCTATATGAAGATATGCTGGATAACTGTGGTTAAGAGTGAAATAACTTAGTGATATACTATTGATATTGATTATTGTGATTAAAGATGGTAGTGAAGAATGAAAAAAACTAACATTGACCTATGAACCATGTGAATAAGGTCAAGGTCATATGAACCCTGCCAGACAGACAGATACGCCTTACAATCATTCCATACACCAAATATAGTTGACCTATTGCTTATATTTTCCATGAAATGAGGTCGGGGTCAAGTGAAAACTGTCTGACGGGCATGAGGACCTTGATAGGTACGCACATACCAAATATAATTATCCTATTACTCATAATAAGAGAGAAATGAACATTACAAAAAATCACAACTTGTTTTTCAAGTAGTCACTGAACCATGAAAATGAGGTCAATGACAATGGACATGTGACAGACGGAAACTTCGTAACATAATGCATCTATATACAAAGTATGAAGTATCCAGGTCTTCCACCTTCTAAAATATAAAGCTTTTAAGAAGTTAGCTAACGCCGCCGCCGCCGTAGCCGTCGCCGCCGCCGGATCACTATCCCTATGTCGAGCTTTCTGCGACAAAAGTCGCAGGCTCGACAAAAAACCGCAATCATTAAATCTTATTAAATAGTCCAATCGATATTATATTGATTATCGGAGCTAAATAGAAAAAAAATAACTGAAAACTCTGATTGGAAAACCTTTAGGCTATCTATGTGTTTTTGATGAGATACATGCATGCCTAATCTTTAGTTTTAATGGATTACTAGAACACATCCGCGAGGTCAGTGACTAGATAAAAGTACCTACGCCTTAATTTCATCTTGGATTTTATAGTATCCGTATTGTCATTTGATAAAGTTATGCTGATTATAAGGTGCGCAGTTTTCTCTGCTTTCAAAATTTTCGGTTTGAATCCGTCCTGCTTTTCTCACTATTACCGGAAACTACTTGTAGATATATTTTTGAGTTCGATGATTGAATTTATTTGATTTTTGATTTTTTGTGTTTTAACGCCACTTTTAAGCACCGCTTTTTTGCTATTTCGTGGCGGCCAGTTTTTATTGGTGGAGGAAGCCGGAATGCCCAGAGAGAACCACCGACCTTCGATAGGAAAACTGACAATCCTAGTCAATTAAGATCGGAGTCGAGTACACCCGCACGAGCGGGGTTCGAACTCACAACCTCAATGTTGACTGGCTAGTGATTACAGTAGTAACTACTTAGACCACTCGGCCACCGAGGCCCCCATGATTGAATTTAGTAGTGTCCTGTATAATGACGAAGTTCGGCAGTGATAAAGACCCGTGTATATATTTCAAATTCGAAATATAATAGGTCTTCAATAATGAGCAAAGGCCAACCCGTATAGTCAGCTATAAAAGGCCCAAAAATGACAAATGTAAAATGATTTAAACAAGAAAAGTAACAGTCAAATTTATGAACAAAAGAACGAACGAAAAACAAAGATTTATCACAGCGACATACGACAACCACTGAATTACAGGCTTCTGACTTTGGACGGGCACATACAGAATGTGGCGGGGTTATATTAGTTTGAATGCGCCAACTCTCCCCTAATCTGGGACAGTGGTGTCACATGTAGTTCAACATAAGAACAAACTATACAAATCTATCTAACAAAAACACAGAGTTGACATGGACGGGTACTTGTACATCCCAACAATAAAAATACACTAAGTACATATCTGAGAGTACTCGCAGTTATACTGACAGCTTTCTCAAAGCCAATAACAACTAATAAAGAAAATTCTTTTTTTTACGGATACAACAGAGGGTTGTTATGTGTGAACTGCTTGTAATCATCTCTTCATGAAATAAAGTAAAATCATTCACAGATGAAAAGCATGTTAAGGAAGCCACTTGCAAAAGAATCGAGTGTTGTAAAGATGCAGAATTAAAAATGGAGGTTTTCTTACATTCCGGCTCACAACAACAAGTACTGTAGCATCCTAGTGAACAAGATGTCATTTTTTTTTTTAAATTAACAATATAATTTAGGACACTACACGGTTTAGAAGATACCCTTGTGCATGCTTAAATATTAAAACATTTTCTTACCGTTGATTTATATATAAAATATTTGTTATGTATAACAAGAGTTACACTTTCCGGTTTCCTTTTTTCGGAGAATTTGATAAAATCTTAGTTTTTGTCTTACAACTTGTGGTCATGTAATTTTGTCAGTTTCCCTATAATTTCAAATGAAGTGGGTGTAAGCAATCACAGGCAACTGTACGGCCTTCAATAATGAGAAAAACAAACTGTAAAAATCAGTTGAAATTAGCTCGACTCAAAACATCTCACATGACTAATATATTTGATATATTTTTAAAATTTAGAGTTGAATCCGTCGAATGTTATAGAATTTGCCATGTGGCCATATCAGTGAGCGTAAATGTATTTCGGGTTACGCAGTGACGGTTTTAGAATTACTGAGTATGGGAAGTTAAAACTTGAATAACAAATCACACTATTCAGTGAAAATTGTGCAATGGTGTCGGAACAACTATGTCGTGTCGCAAATAATCTATACATATTCAGAACAAGATGTTATTAACAACACATGTCATATATCATTGATACGCTTTGTATAAATTGGTCGAATGAAGGGTGAGACATTTCGACTGTCAATTGGAAAATGAGGCTACGTTGCAATAGGTCATCTAAGTACCCCAAGAGTTATTGCTAGGGTTCTTTAATCATCGATACAGAGGGATTGACACAAAACTATTTAAACTTACCTACACGAGACACTACGATGAAGAAAATTTGCATGTAATTACATTTTAAAAGTTGGCTATTCAGTGGTTGTCGTTTGTTGATGTGTAACATATTAATTTTGTTTTTCGGTTCATTTTTTTGTACATAAATTAGGCCGTTAGTTTTCTCGTTTGAATTGTTTTACATTTGTAATTTCAGGGCCTTTTATAGCTGACTATGCGGTAT